AGCCTAGCCTCCCAGCCCGTCCTCCGCAGCTGGGACAAGACCAGGATAGTGATGGCTTTGTGACTGTCCGGAAAGGGCGACGTGTTGTTGGTAGTTTCCCCATTGGGCCTCCTCCTGTTAGCATTTACAATCGCTGGGACGCTCTGTCCGGCTGCGCCCCCGCGCGGCCGGGCGGGGAAGAAGGCCCCACTGAGAGAGCCGCTGAGAGAGCTGCTGAGAGAGCCGATGGAGTCGCTGATGCGCTGGTAATTGGCTCCTCTATTGTTAGAGGTGTTAAGATCCCAGGAGCCACTGTTCGGTGCTTCCCTGGGGCCAGGCTTGGTGATATTGAAGGGAATCTGAGGCTCATGATGACCCACAAGCAGCGTTTCCGTCGAATTGTTATTCACGCGGGTGGTAATGACGTTCGGCGGAAACAGTCCGAGGTGTTGAAGCTGCAAGTCGCCGCGGTGTGCAAGCTGGCTAGCACAATGGCCGACACTGTCATCTTCTCTGGGCCCCTACCTAGCACTAGCAGTGCAGAAGCATTCAGCAGACACTCGGCTTTCAACCGCTGGCTGTCTGGCTGGTGCCCTCGAAGTGGTGTTGTTCATGTTGACAATTGGAGTGCCTTTTGGGGAAAGCCCGGTCTCATCCGCTCGGATGATATCCACCCAACGTTGGCGGGTACATCCCTTTTGGCTAAGAATTTGGCCCTGGCTCTAAACTGTTCTGCTCGGCTCAAATGACGGTGCAGAACTGAGGCCCGGGTGCAGAGCTGCTCTGCCACAACCTCTGAGCCCCCATCTGTTCAGTTACTAGCCTCAGAAGCTAGTCAGATTGAAACTGTGTGTGCATGTGTGTGTGTGCCTGTGTGTGCTCAGTTACTAGCCTCAGAACCTAGTCAGATTGAAACTGTGTGTGTTCCCCGCTTGAAGTCTAAAGCACTATATGCGAGGAAATCTGACCTAGGTGTCAGACACAGTAACTTAATAAAAGTTCAGACAGACAGAAATAGTTCTAGCGGTAGGGTTGTTAAATGTGGTTTAATGAACGTCAGATCAATCTCGTCTAAATCGCTTCTCATAAACGAACTTATTATAGACAAGGGCTTGGATCTGTTTGCGCTCTCTGAGACTTGGCTCCAACAGGACGACTACGTTAGATTGAATGAGTGCACTCCTCCGACGCATGTTAACTACCAGAAAGCCAGAGCTACAGGTCGCGGCGGTGGTGTTGCGATTATATCACACACCAACTTGGTTCTTAGTCCCAAAACCAACAACGCTTTTCACTCGTTTGAAAACTTAACACTTTCAATCACCTGTCCTGGGTGGAGAAAACAAAAAGCAGTACTATTTATAGTTTTATACCGACCTCCTGGTCCTTACAGCGAGTTCCTAACAGAATTCTCTGACTTCATTTCAAACCTAGTTTTGGAATGGGAAAACATAGTTATAGCTGGAGACTTCAATATACATGTGGACGACAGCACTGACAGCTTAAACAAAGCTTTCAGCGCCGTACTAGATGGTGTTGGTTTTACTCAGAATGTCGAGGAACCTACTCACATTCATAACCACACCTTGGACCTTGTCCTGACCTACGGCTGTGATGTCTCCAATGTTGACATCCAGCGTCAAAGCTCGTTGCTGTCTGACCATTTCTTGATCACGTTTGATCTCGCTTTGGAGGACTTTCCTGTCCCGCAAGATAAAACCATAATGAAAAGAACCTTAAATGATAAATCTATCACAAGGTTCAAAGAACTAATACAGCCTATGTTGAATACTGCTGCAGGTGAACCTGTTCACAGCAGCTGCAGTCCCTCAGTCATTGACCAAACGGTGGGCAACACTATGGAGTCTTTAAAATCTGCATTAAATGCAGCAGCTCCTTTAAAACAGAAAACCATTAGGATTAGATCATCGTCGCCCTGGTACAGTGTTCAACTCCACACTTTAAAACAGGACGTCAGAAAATTGGAGAGGCTATATCGCCACTCCCACTCGGAGCCTGTCCACAGGGAGTGGAAAGCAGGTCTCCGAAACTACAAGAAGGCCCTTCGCGGGGCTCGAACTCAATACTATTCAACTTTAATAGAAGCGAATAAAAACAACAGTAGATTTTTGTTTGGTACCGTCGCTAAACTCACAAACTGCCATAGCGCAATCGAGCCTAAAATTCCAAGCTCACTGAGCAGTGTCGACTTTCTCCACTTCTTTAATAATAAAATTACATCCATCCGTGACAAGCTGGAGGAGGTTGCTCCTGCTGTTAGTGGTGGACAGGTTGAAGCGGCATACGTGACTTCCCACTTAGACTCTTCAGTGGGCCTTAATAAATTCATGGCTGTGAGCCAAGCAGAGGTGATCTCTGTGGTCACATCCTCAAAAGCCTCAACTTGCATGTTAGACGCAGTCCCGACATGGCTCTTCAAAGACATACTTCCTTTGATAATTGAGCCTATCGTAAATATAATAAACGCATCCATACAATGTGGCTATGTCCCACAAGCTTTTAAAACCGCGGTAATCAAACCCCTTCTGAAGAAAACAAACCTGGACCCAGAAATACTTACAAACTACAGACCGATCTCAAACCTCACTTTTATATCTAAAATCCTGGAAAAACTTATAGCTGAGCAGCTCCGCTGCCACCTGCAGGAAAATGATATGTTTGAAGTCTTTCAATCAGGATTCAGAGCTCATCATAGCACTGAAACGGCACTAGTCAAAGTCACAAATGACTTACTACTAGCTGCCGATAATGGACAAGTGTCAGTGCTGGTCCTACTGGACCTTAGTGCTGCATTTGACACAATAGACCACAGCATTCTACTGCAGAGGCTAGAATGTGATATAGGTCTTAGAGGAACAGCCCTTGGCTGGTTTAAATCCTATTTATCAGATCGATATCACTTCGTCAATGTGAATCAGGACTCGTCGCCTTATTCTGGAGTGGAATTCGGTGTGCCGCAGGGTTCGGTACTCGGACCGATTCTTTTTACTCTCTACATGCTGCCACTGGGAAACATTATTAAAAAGCATGGAATTAATTTCCACTGCTATGCAGATGACACACAGCTTTATCTGTCGATGAAGCCTAATCAGACAGATCAGCTAGAAAAGCTCAGTGCCTGCATAAAGGACCTTAAAATGTGGATGACTCTTAACTTCCTACTTCTCAACCCGGAGAAGACAGAAGTGATCCTACTCGGTCCGAAGCGCCTGCGTGACTCCCTCACTAACCAGATGGTTACTCTCGATAATGTCAGTATAATACCCAGTAACACTGTGAGGAATCTTGGAGTCATTTTTGACCAAGAACTCTCCTTCAAGGCTTATATAAGCCAAGCAACTAAAACGGCGTACTTCCACTTACGGAACATCGCTAAAATTAGGAATTTCCTTCCTAAAAGTGACGCGGAAAAACTCATTCACGCGTTTGTCACCTCAAGGCTCGACTACTGTAACGCTTTACTGGCAGCGTGCCCTAAAGCCTCTTTGAAGAGCTTCCAGCTCGTTCAGAATACAGCAGCTAGGATCTTAACAGGTACCAAAAGGAGGGAGCACATAACTCCGGTGTTAAAATCACTCCACTGGCTCCCTGTGGAGTACAGAATAAAGTTTAAAATCCTACTCTTAACATATAAAGCCATAAATGGCTTGGCTCCTTCTTATCTCCAAGACACGTTAGTGTCGTATCAACCAGGTCGAGCGTTGCGCTCACAAAACGCCAGACGTCTGGTGGTCCCTAAGGTCTCAAAGGTCACTGTTGGTGGCAGAGCATTTAGCTACCAAGCTCCTTTACTGTGGAATCAGCTTCCCATTTATGTTAAGGAAGCAGATACGGTCTCCACATTCAAGGCCAGGCTTAAAGCACTTTACTTTAATTTAGCATATAATTAGGTAATATATAATATGTAGTGTATATATTATATATATATGCTGTATTATGTTATATATTATATTATATATTATTCAATAATGTATTGTGTTATGTTGTATATTATGTTATATATTATGCTGTATGTTATTCTTTATTCAAGGCTAGGTTTAAAACAGTCCTCTTTAGTTTAGCATATGGCTAGGAAGGTAAGACTCGGAGAAGGTTAAACTCCTCAGAGTGTCAGTCAAGCTGCATAGGGAGTCAGTTTGCTGGGAGAAGTATGGTAACTTGAGCACTATCCTCTCCTCCTTCCTACTTTATCTGTTTAGCATTTTTAGGATTCTGACTGTAGTTTGTTCATTGCTATTCACCCGTTGTCCCATTGTCTGTTTCATGGTACGATGACGGGATCTCTGAGCCTGGCCTCTTCCATCTACACCTGCGGACTGCCCCGCCCGACCCGCCTGGGAGTGCTTCAGTCCTGCACCGGACCTGTCCACGTTCAGCGTCCACTGGTCCACGTTCTGTAGCTAGCTTAGGTCCTAGATCATTAGCCTGTCCGTCCGGAGGAGCGGATCCCTTTCTCATATGGGTCTCCCTCCCTGTGGGTTTCCCTAGTTCTCCTCCAAGGTTTCTCACTTTTTCCCACTGGGTTTTTTAAGAGTTTTTCCTTGTCGATGCAGGAGGGTCTTGTTGGACAGTTAGTGTCCAACAGAAAGGATTGGTGATGATCAGGACACTTTAGCATTCTACAACATGTATGGACATTTTCTTCTGTGTGTGCTTTATATTCTTCATGTGTTTTAACTGTTGATTCTCTGACCTGTGTTGGTGATTTCAATGGTTTTGTTAAGTCCTCTGAGATGACTTCTGTTGTGACCTAGGGCTATACAAGAATAAATTGTAATTGTGTAATTGTAATTGTAATTGTGTAATTTACGGATGGACAGAATAAGCTACTGCAGACCTTTATGAAAAGTTGGACATGAGTTGGCTTTAACATGTGTCTGTGAAAAATGTATGGAAAGCCAATGGGATTTTCCACCACCGTATAACTGTGACCTCAAAAGTGTATCCATGGTTCTGAGTTAATCTTTACAAAGTGTGAAATGTGGCGTTAGCGTACTGACCTGGGGCAATGGATTCTGGATCTGGGAGCATTCTTGTGGCCGTCAAATCTTCAGCAGTGCAGTTGTTTTCACTGCTGTGGATCTCTGCCTGCTGATCCCATGTCTGAGAAAGGCTCTAAAGAAAACAAAATATGGCATGGATAAAAGTAATGCTCTGTGAACTGCCATTTCAAACAGCTTGGAGCAGTGTCTCATGTGTTAATGCAGGCACGGGATCATTTAGCACAAAGCAATTCAATCCTATGCAACAAGCCACAAGCTGTAACTATATTAAAAACACATCCAACATTGCACTCATTCTCTTCATACTTCAGTTTTCAGTTTTCAGTTTCACCGTATTTATATCAAGAGTTAAACTTTTTTTTGTTTCTTTTTATGTTGTCAAATCTACTTCTTTATTTCTACTACTTCATGACATGGATGACACATTTTAGCCCTAGTTTTAGTATAAGACAGTTTCACGTTAAGATTTGTATAATTATATGAAGCTGAAGAGCAAATTCAGAATGAAAGACCACCAGCCTCTTGGGCCTCCACCAATCACACAGCTCTGCCAGCCTCGAGCCTCCACCAATCACTGACAGCAAAGCGGGCAGTTTAAAAAGCAGCCACCGCCTGATAAACAGCGCTTCCTGAAGCTCTTAACACCCACCACCTCCCCAGCACCTCCCCTGGCTCCTGCTCTTGCTCCTGTTCTGTCTCCTGCTCTGGCTCCTGCCCTGGCTCCTGCTCTGGCTCCTGCCCTGGCTCCTGCTCTGGCTCCTGCTCTGGTTCCTGCTCTGGCTCCTGCTCTGGCTCCTGCTCTGGCTCTGGCTCCTGCTCTGGCTCCTGCTCTGGCTCCTGCTCTGGCTCCTGCTCTGGCTCCTGCTCTGGCTCCTGCCCTGGCTCCTGCTCTGGCTCCTGCTCTGGCTCTGGCTCCGCCTACACAACATTCAAACCATGCTTCTAGCCACCACCAGTGCTTGACCCCGGGGGCTCTGAGATCATCTACAGCAGCAGATGATCTCCCCTCTGCAAGTGTCACTGCCAGGGTCAATGCACCAAACAAATAAATCTTTTCATGCATTCATGTTTCTGTCTTGGTCTCTTCAGACAGATTTTTTTAACCATTTATTTCCATTCATTCATTTTCATTTAAGTTTTCTTTAACACACACTTTTTTAAGACAAGCAACGGTTAGACCCGCCCATGCTCACCCCCGCAGCTTCCTTATTGGTCAAAATGAATTCAAATTGATTCCTTGTCTTTGGTTTAACTATCTTTCTGTTTGTAGTTACGCCACAGGGGAGGGACTAGTTTAAACATATTATAGTTGAAAAATACTTACAGTACATAATGGTACAGTGTCCCATGGTTTTTGATATCAACCTTTAAGTTAATATTTCACATTCTAAAAGATGGAATGAGAATTTAAATAGTCTCAATATTATTCCAGTGGACAAATATACAGCATCACATTAGACTGGTAAGACTGGTGCTGTTGTCTTTCTGATACAGTAGCGTCTCTTTGGACAGTAGCTCTTTGTGGTCGTTTATCTTATCTCTCATTTACATTCACCAACAACAACCGCACAGAGAAGCCATTCTTGTGCATTCTTAAACACAAGGATCATTGTGGCTTGGGCACAGGACAGAATGTGCATCGAACACATCCAGGGCTCATCCCCGCACCTAGATCTTTGTGATGATTTACTGCAGGACTTCCTCAGGAAACGTTGACAACATGAAACAAAATGAGTTCGCAGCCCTGAGCCGTAAACACAGACATGAGAGGCCGACTTCAAAGACTGTACCACTGTCTCTCTGTGAACCGCCGCTGTAATAACAACAATGTAGATTCACTGTGAGCTAAATAATATTGTACTGGATAGTTTTGGTTTGTGTAAGATCTCGGTGGTTCAGGGATTATTCAAAACAAAGGAAAGTTGCTCATCCATGAAAACCTGCTGACTAAAGTCCAGATGAAGTCCATAATAGATTCATTCTTGACATAGCTACGGTTTAATAATGATACAACATGTTTGAACATCAAGCATGATTGTTTATGAACATGTTTATTATATGAAATGTTGCTCTTTTTATTGTTTTAATTTGATAATTGAAATAGCATGATTTCTGTACTTTTATCTGGTTATGTTTGTCCAAATGAAATAAATGCAAAGCTCAAAGTTTTCTACAAAATCAAAGCAATCCTACAGGTCGATGCAGTTTCATTTGTGGAGAGTTGCCTGATGATCAATACCATTCTACATTTAGAATCAGAATCAGAATCATTTTTATTGCCAACGTAAGTAACGGGAGGTCACAGACTTGGAAATTGCTTTGGCTCAGTGCAACAGTCAAAAAGAGATAATAAAAATAAGAATAAAAAACACTTCTAAAGAATAAATTTAAATTTAAAATAGAGTTACAGTTACTATTTACAATATACAAGTGCACATGGTGCACACAATGTAAGGTGACAGCAGTACAGTGAAGTAAAGTGACGTATGATGGGCAGTAAAGTGACTTTATAAAGGGCGGGGGGACAGGTTAAGAAGTGTTCAAGAGTCCAACAGCAGAGGGGAAGAAACTGTTCTTGTGGCGGGAGGTTCTAGTCCTGATGGACCGCAGCCTCCTGCCTGAGGGGAGTGGTTGGAATAGTCCATGTGCAGGGTGAGAGGGGTCGGCTGTGATACGACCAGCCCGGCCTCGAGCTCGGGCGACGTACAGGTCCTGCAGCGATGGAAGGCTGCGGCCGATCACTTCCTCTGCAGAGCGCACAATGCGCTGTAGTCTCTGTTTGTCCCTGACTGTGGCTCCAGCGAACCACACGGTGATGGACGAGGTGATGGAGGAGGTGATGGAGGAGTTGATGGAGGCGGTGATGGAGGAGGTGAGGATGGACTCGATGATGGCCGTGTAGAACTGCACCAACATCTGTGCAGGCAGCTTGGCTTTCCTGAGCTGCCGCAGGAAGTACATCCTCTGCTGGGCCTTCTTGATGAGGGAGCTGATGGTCGGCTCCCACTTGAGGTCCTGGGTGATGGTGGTGCCCAGGAAACGGAAGGACTCCACAGAGGTGATGGGGGAGTCCATCACGGAGGGTGGGGGCGGGGGGACAGTGCTCTTCCTGAAGTCCACAATCATCTCCATTGTCTTCTGGGCGTTCAGCTCCAGGTTGTTACCACTGCACCAGGACACCAGCCGGTCCACCTCCCTCCTGTAGGCGGACTCATCGTTGTTGGAGATGAGTCCAATGAGGGTGGTGTCGTCCGCGAACTTGATCAGCTTCACGGAGTCGTGGCTGGAGGTGCAGTGGTTGGTGTACAGGGAGAAGAGCAGGGGAGAAAGAACACAGCCCTGTGGGGCTCCTGTATTTATAATCCGAGAGTCCGAGACATTCTTCCCCAGACGCACTCGCTGCTTCCTGTCCGTCAGGAAGTCAGTGATCCACCTGCAGGTGGAATCGGGCACGTTGAGCTGGGAGAGCTTGTCCTGGAGCAGGGATGGCAGGATTGTGTTGAAGGCAGAGCTGAAGTCCACGAACAGGACCCTGGCGTAGGTCCCCGGGGAGTCCAGGTGCTGTAGGATGTGGTGTGGTGGAGGGCCAGGTTAATGGCGTCGTCTACAGATCTGTTGGCTCTGTAGGCGAACTGCAGGGGGTCCAGGAGGGGGGAGGTGAGGGACTTGAGATGGGAGAGAACCAGGCGTTCAAATGACTTCATGACGACAGACGTAAGTGCTACAGGTCTGTAGTCATTGAGTCCTGTGATCCTGGGCTTCTTCGGGACGGGGACAATGATGGAGGATTTGAAGCAGGCCGGGACATGGCAGGACTGCAGAGAGGAGTTGAAAATGTCCGTGAACACAGGAGTAAGCTCACTGGCGCAGTGTCTCAGAGTGGCCGGAGACACGTGGTCCGGGCCAGGAGCTTTGCGGGGGTGCAGCCTCAGGAAGAGTTGTTTAATCTCTTTAGCGGCTATTGTTAGGCTGGGGGCAGGGCTGATGGGTGGGTCGTTAGAGTAGTGGGGGGTGGGGGAGGGAGAGGTGTCAGGGGCAGCATCAAAGCGACTGAAAAATAAGTTCAGATCGTCAGCTAGCTTGTGGTCATCAGCACAAGGGGGGGCTTTGGGTTTGTAGTTGGTGATCTCCCGTAGGCCCCTCCAGACAGAAGCAGTATCGTTGTTACCAAACTGCTCCTGTAGTCGTTCTCTGTGCCGGGACTTGGCTGCTTTCAGTTCTTTCCTGAACTGATATTTAGCTGCTTTGTAGCCGCTGCGGTCCCCCTCCCTGAAAGCAGACTCCTTTGCTTTCCTGAGCTGCCGGAGTTTAGCAGTGAACCAGGGTTTGTCGTTGTTATAGATGACCCTGGTCCTTGTTGGAATGATGCTATCCTCACAGAAGTGGATGTATGACGTCACAGTGTCCGTATATTCATCCAAGCTGTCTGTGGCAGCTCTGAAAAGGTCCCAGTCTGTAGATTCCATGCATGCGCGCAGCTCTTCCACAGCTTCATCAGACCACACTTTAGACAACAATGTCATTATATTTATCAATGTAAATGTAAATATAGTATACAAATGTATTCCACATGTTGCTCTGTCACTTTTGAGATTCTATGATTGAGGCTTTAGTTTTCCCATTGACCCATGAAATCTGTAGATTTGGTCAGAGACAAACCAGAACCACAAATGATTGTACAACTGTGTGGTTCTGGTCAAGAATAGTTGATAAAAGAAAGAAAGAAAGAAAGAAGACTGGATGGTCTAAAGCTGGGGTACCTGACAAGATCATAGACTGTATATAGATGGACTTTGTTAAGCCCCTGACTCAATGGAGACCAATAGGGAAGATTTACCACAACTCTACTGAATTACATTGAAAAGTAAACTCTTCTGGCTCAGTAACCGTTTGTGCCTCTCTATCATTCTGAGGTTTAACATTTCGATATTCTCTTTGCAAATCCAGATATGAGCTATGTAAGGGTTGACCAATCTTCCCCTGTTACGGTGCAAAGCAAACCCCATGGGGCAAATTCCCATTGAAGGAAATTGGCTCCAGCTATCTTATGTTCAAATCAGCTTCTTCCATCCACTCCTAATATATGGTCTATGAACAAGATGTGTCTTTTCTTCCACTGGAGAAGGACATCCAGTAAAACCTTCATCCATAAACTGTCATTGTCACTGCACACATCTCTCATGCTGAATCAGGTTTAGTTCATCTTAATTATCTGTATCTAAGTGCTTGAGTACATAATTTGCTTCCTATGTGTTACTGTGTCAGATTAAGATAAGAGCTGCTGGGAAGAGAAAATGTTGGCTTGGCACAGACCCAACATGACCACAATGGGACATTTATAATAAAGTACTTACGGCCTACAGCACCAGTGCAGCCCTCCTCCACAGCAGGAGTCAAATAAATACTTCAAAGTGCTTAATCTTTCGCTCAAATGCGCAGTCAGGAAGTACAAGGGCTTTTGCAGGGACAGGCTAAAGATGAATGAGTTTCCTGCCAGTCAAACCAAAGTTAGTAATGACAGGAGCGTTAAGATGTCACTACGTCATAGAGAATGTTGTTTAGAATGTAGAGGGTATAATCTGCGTCGCTGGGAATTTATGTTTAACCTTCAAATATTGTCAAACTTTTATTTGTGCAATTACCTCGAGATGACGTTATTAAAGTTGCAAAGCTAAAGCGGTCGGTCCTTGATGTGAATGTGAATTAAATGGTGAAAAATGTAATTAAATTTCAATGTGGCACACGCCTTTGTTATCATTTTGACAAGCTAACAGTCACATTTAAAAAAAAAAAATCTGATTTGTGCTTAAAGAGTATCATATTTGTGAAAGGTATATAGGAGGTTTATCTACACGCGGGTGGATCATCAAGGTTACTGGTCCTCCCAAGTGTCAATCATTCTGGTGATACGTGCATCAGATAAGACCAGAGAGTTTTGTTCAAAAAGAGAGGGCGGTTCTTTAAATGAACTTTTGTCGGTAAAAGTCAGTCTAGTTTTTGGAAAAATACGGTTTAACTGCAAGTTATTTTTCCCAGAACTACAATACCCAGAATGCTCAGTAGTCCAGTGATCTTCCTATAAGGCTGTTGATTGGTTGAGCTTACGTCCCCCCATGTACAACCAGCTACATATATTTCTTATTGGCAAATGTAATGTGCACAGGCTCGTGGGTGTTGTGACACAATGGCTGATGGGATATGGAGTTTTTCTAACCAGGAAGTAATAAGTAAGCAGCCTTGTACCTTTGCCTTCAACATTATGTCTTCTTCTTTGAGGCTTGAAATTGAAAGTTTCATGGTCATAAATTAAGGCATAGCTGTTTAACATTTCCAGTGTCTTTAAACTCTTTAAGATAAACATTTTCGGAAGTCCACGGGCTCAAAGGCGTGCTGTGTTCTTACATTGAGCTGCATGTTGGTGGAGTTCTGGATACTTTCAAAAGTGTATTTCTCCGATCGTCTTTGTCTCATCTTGAAAAGTCTGGAGCCTCGGTTTGAAGCCAGCGACAGCTCCTCCAGCATGATGTCTTTGGGCGCGCTCACCTTCTTTCCCAGGTCGATCACCGGATCTAAGCACAAAAAAGAAAATTGAAATTAGATCATCTCTGCATTTGATCTGCAGTCTTCCAGGAAATGTGAGACAGACCACAGGTGAAAACAGTTTAGCTTAACAGAGCATTTAACTGTACAATTAAACTCACCTTACCAGCTTCTGTCATCACAAATACTACAGACTTCTTTGTTTCAATGCTTTCAGATTGTTTGCATAAAGATACAGAGTGGAAGCCAGACACATAGTGTGGTTAAATCACACTTGGAGCTTTTCAAATCACACTATTTAGCACTTTTATGACAATTTGCTCAAAAAATACAAATAACATCCATCCATCCATCCATCCATTTTCTTCCGCTTTATCCGTTGCCGGGTCGCGGGGGCAGCAGTCTAAGCAGAGACGCCCAGACTTCCCTATCCATATATATATATATCCATATACAAATAACATATACGATTATATTTCATTATCTCAGGAGACTTCTTGATTAAACATATGTTAAATTAAATAAATTGTGGTTTTGTCAGAGGATACTATGGACCATGATGAACGTAATGCCATCTTTTTAAAAGTCTTTATTCTTGAATATAAAAATATACACTGTGTTTTGTGAAGTTTAGTTAAATTCGCCGCTCAGTATCAGCTGGTTTGAGACCAGTTTAATGTACTGGCCTTTGTACTTGGTTTAGTCTAATCCAGTTTAGGTCTTGGTTTAGTTAAGTTTCATGTTTCATGTTCCATGATATAATTAATATATTATATGTATTTTACAGTATATTGGTCTGTGAGTTTTGCATAAACTAAAATATTGTGTTACATACATCACATATGAAGTCCTCCGGTTTCTACGTTCCATGTCTGATTATAACTCCTGTGCAAATATACCACTGCAGCAGTCGCAGTTGCCAAACCTCTCTCCATTTTACGAGCAGCCTATAAATATCTAAATTAATACTTTTATGAGTAAGTAATCCTTTGTCAGCGTCCTTTTGAAGACGCTATTTCAGGGACGAGGACAACTGCCCGCCGTGTTGGAGCGGCCTGAGGGTCTGGGACAGCTGACACTCTCTCCTCACCTTTCTCTCTATCACAAATTACATGTATTTATGCAAAACAGTTTCAAGTTTTCACCGTTTCACAACATGTCCCAACCCTTTCTGTCAGAACGCTCATTTCAATTTGGAGAGACGAGAAAACAGGAAGTTTTGAGTATTTTATTGAAAGGAGGTTTGGCGCCCTAGGTCCCGGTGCGGCCTTCAGATCGGAAAGGCTCCTGCGATGGAGCGCGCACAATCCCCCGGGACCTAGGCACTGGTGGCGGCATTTGGCAGCGGGAAGCAGATTGAAGGCAGATTGGAGGCAGGGTGAAGAGGAGGAGGAGGGGAGGCGGTGGTTGCGAGGCTTCAGAGGCCGAGAGTGGGAGTTTCTCCGTTTTTATGCGGCTGGCGAGTCGGTACAGATGATTGGGAGGGGGCGTCTGCTGAGCGATAGGTTGGGGATGCGAGCCGGCCTGGAGGGGGTAATTTTGGTTAACGTCTACCAAATTGAATTTTCGCTGGCTGCATTTCTTAAACTCATTGGTCATAACTGTCATAACTGTGGTATGACCGATCCTCCACTGTGAGACTAATAAAGGTTCATCTTATCTTATCTTATCACTAGACTTTGACTTTAAATTTAAACTTTGAAACCACAAAAATCACTTTCTTTTCAAATCCATCATGAGTTCTTAGCTCTAACAAGAGGTTTGTTCGATCACAAACTAAATCACTGTCTCACATTAATGTTTTGCTCCAATTCTTTATGGAGTCACAATTTTGGATCTGCTTTTTCAGTAAGACAGTATTTTATGACCAAATCCAAAAGATTGATTTGGTGATAAAATGTAACTTGAACAAGACTCTTCCTGTTGGGAAAACAACATGTGTTCATGGGGGAAGGTTCTCCAGCTCGATAATGGATAGAGATGTTTTTTTTTTTTCCTTTTTAAAACAAATGACATTTTCTACAACTGCAGGACAACTGCAGGACAACGTCAAATACCACCATTCCTGCTCATCCATGTATTTCCAACATGAGAAATGATTTCACATTCTAAAACATGAAAACGTCAATGTACAGTAAATATGTATTCTCAAGATAAAGTCTGTATCATATTTTTGTTCTTACCTGAATATATTTTACTTATTCATTTGTTCAGTATGGTATGGTTTGTGTTTAATTCTTTTTCAGTTGGAAAAGTACAGTTTAAAAGGAATTGGGCCAAACAAATTCTTATTGGGCTCCATCTTTTTTTGCATCCTTATAAGAAAGAGCCCTGTGAGTCACTATTTGACTCTTTGGGCTGAGAGCTGATTGGTTGAGTGAGAATGGTCCTCTCTTTTTCTTTTCTGATGTGACAGAGGACAAAACTACAGTTACAACCAAACTAATGTAGAGCCAGTGACTATTCGACTGATTTTGTTACATACATTAGCGATATTTCAGGAGGTTTGAAAATCAGGTTCCTCAGCTTTAAGGCCGGAGTTATCTGAACGATCAGCGTGTAGAGTGACCACGCGGCTCTGACCACGATGAGCTCCCGACACCAGTGGATTAGGAGCGGGTTAATTTGTCGTTCATCAAAATGGCAGAACAACAAAGTCAGCTTTTTCTCTCTCAGCAGAGCGTAACTGCAATATTTGTGATCGATAAAGTTTGATGATGGCGTTCAAAGGAAAACACGCAGCGGCTGTTTTTAAAGGTGCACGCGCAGTTTACAGTCGTTTGTACCCATTTTGATGAATTACTTCGAACAATAAGAAATGATTGTGGAGAGAAGTGTATTAGATTTTATAGAGTTTTTGTAGCTGTGTCTATTGTTGCATAATTAAAATGTTGTATACTAATGATTTTGAAAATAGGCCCTCTGAAGAATGTGCACGGGGAAAAGCCCCAAGGACAAGGATTGCAAACAGGAATAAAGAGGGTCAAATGGAGAAACTACAATCAGTCATAGAGATACCAACTTTCAAAACGGGACAAATTATTAACTCCAGGAATAAACATTCTTGTCTCTCTGGCGAGGCCAAAAGTCCAAAACACCATCTGGCTAATCTCTCTCAGGCAGACTGGGAGATTCTCCAAAGGCATTCTGACGCCTCCCAGTGGACACGGGACGCCAGCACACCCGAAAAGAACATTCGGGAGAAGCCCACAAGTGACGTCATCAGACGTCTTGATAAAACTGTTGGTTTGAGTTCTGGGGGGAAGGTTAGCGCAGGGGAAGAGGAGAGGGACATATTAGTTTTAGGAGCACTTTTTTGTTGAATATTCTGTATCTGATTGTAAAGATAATTAAATGCAGATGTTAAACGTGAAGATCTCTTGTCTCGCTCTTGCATCGACTTTGGATACGTCAGTCAAAGGGAATTATTGACTTCACTATGCATTGACTAAGAGTATATTTCAGCCAATGAACAAAAAAAGTAAAGTTAAAATGTTTTGAGTTAAAGCTTATTTTGGTTTCATGAATAATACATGTAGTTTCTCAAACACACACGGCACGGTGGCTGAGTGGATAGCACTCTCGCCTCTCAGCAAGAAGGTCCTGGGTTCGAATCCCGGTTGGACCAGGGCCTTTCTGAGTGGGGTTTGCATGTTCTCCCCGTGTCTGCGTAGGTTTCCTCCGGGTGCTCCGGTTTCCCCTACCACTAAAAATATGTCCAATAGGTATGGCATGTGCCTCCTGTACTGGCACCCCCACCCAACAATTGTAAACTGCTTTGAGACTCCGATGTGCAGTGAAAAGGCGGTATATAAATAAAAGCTTACTTACTTACATACACACACACGGCACACACACACAGGCACACACCAAGCCCCGGTGATCCAAGATGGCACCCTATTCAAATGAATAGCTTGTGCTCAGTAGTTTATGGGACTTCACGGAGACCGGGAGATTAGCAGAACCCGCCTATATTTGGGCATCGTCTGGTCCTCCCGGTTCTGCACAGTGGACGAGCTCCCATGATGCTTTGCGCCAAATACGCTTGTGTGGCTCTCATGCACGTGCACAGAGAGGCTCGGTCGCTCTCTGACCAATCAGAGCTGCTGATCAGAGCAGCGGTAGAGCGGAGTCAGAGCGGGAAGGAAAGGAGAAGAGTTTGTGGATTTAAAGAAAACCGAAGGATTTAAGAAGAAAAAAAGTTCAGAATGACAAGGGTCACTAAAATCCCCACAAAATCTGATCTTTATGAAAGCTGTTGGTTCTCTGTCAGGTTCTCTGTCAGGTTCTCTGTAGGTTCTCTGTCAGGTTCTCTGTCAGGTTCTCTGTAGGTTCTCTGTCAGGTTCTCTGTCAGGTTCTCTGTCAGGTTCTCTGTCAGCTGAGGTTGAGCTGTTTTAGTTTACATTTGGTTCTATTGGACTTTTTTCTGGGTAGCCCTCGTGAATTTACTCTGCAGTATCACAGCGCCCCCTGTGCCCATGGATGGAACAGCTCTATGATAGTAATACCCTTTTTATTATAGATTCATGGCACACACACTCAAACAAACTGATCTGAAGATGTGACAGAGGCCAATAAATACACGTGAAAACAACTAAGCAAACCAAACCGTTTAGAGAGAGTGTTTATTTCCCATAGTTCCGTTATTTATGGTTTGAAAGTTAGGTAACCCAGCTTTAAGCATATTTGTCTGTAACAGAACTAGCTGAAAAACATCCAATTCAAATAAAAGTCTACATGTTCAGTTTAATTTGTGGTTAGACTGGTGTGTCATACTTAAACCTCACACAACCAATATCACAGATTCAGAACATAAGAAAATACTTGTTTAAAAAAGTTGGTTAAAACAAGGAATAAAACAAACATGTTTAAAAGCACATGTATAAATGTTTTTGAGTGTGATATTTATCTACGTTTTGTTTGATTAGATTTTCCTTGAATTAATTTTTCTTGATCAACATTGTGACCTGTGCTCCTTTTTTGCAAAATATTGTGATTTGGTCATTGTCCGTATCTATTTTATGATTGGAAAATGAATAAAAAGCCGTGTTGAAAGTCCTTGTGTATGTTCCGTCCCCGTTAGCGGTGTGTTGTAAGACGGTATGTTAAGAATGGACGTCCCCACACGTGTCCGCAGGTCTGTACGTGTGTGTGGACATGTTATAAATACATAAATACTTTACCTTCCTGTCCTCGCACCGCTCTACAGATGGCTGCTGCGTGCATCTTCCTCTCGCTGGTCGTCATGGTGCAGAACTGCGACATGGCCTCTGGGGACACAAGATCAAACCGTCAACACTTAGACACACACGCACAGACACACACCCACAAACACACACCCACAAACACACACCCACAAACACACACGCACAAACACACAAACACACATGCACAAACACACACGTACAAACACACACCCGCAAATACTGTACACACCCACAAACACACACGCACAAACACACACGTACAAACACACATCCACAAACACACACGTACAAACACACATGCACAAAGACACAAAAAAAACAGGATGTATAGTTGTGTTTGTTTTACCATTCACTGTTACTGGTTGTATTCAGCCACAGTGATTTAATGTTTTTTGCCAACCGAGAAATTAAAAATGAATAATATTTGTTTTAAAAAGGGCGCGGTGGTAGTAGGGTTAGCGCTCTCACTCCTCAGCAAGAAAGTCCCAGGTTTTAAGCCTTTCTGAGTAGAGTTTACATGTTCTCCCAGTGTCTGAGCAGGTTTCCTCCAGGTGCTCCGGTTTCCCCTTCCACTAGAAACATGTACGATAGGTAAAATCCTCCAGCTTTGGTCCTGACCAAGCATCAGTTTGTGGAGATGGGTTCCCAAAAATGACAGAGGCCCTTTAGTGGCATTCAGGATGGGTCAAATGCAGACAAATTTCTCTACAAGGACAATAAGAAGAATATTTAAAAAAGCGGCTCTTCTGATTATAAGTCTCCATCTCCCCTTTAACATCTACGACAGCTTTTGTGGTAGTTGTGGAGGAGGTTGTGTATCCTCTGGTGGTGAAGCTGCCTTTTTTTTCTTGGGGAAAAGCCTTTAGTTTTTGTAAATTCCAGGGCCACCTTGCATGAACTGTGCTTTTGACATCCCCCCAGAGCAGCACAAAAAAAAAAGGTTTATTTACAGTGCTTTTTTTACTGACTTGTAAAGCGCCTTGTGACTCTGGTCAGTGAAAGGTGCAGCACACAGAAAGATCACTAACTATTTACTTAAAGCATAGTGGCAGCAATAACTATTAAACGCCATTAGACCTAAAACCAACCCATAAACAAATCATACATGCATTTAAGTGAATATTTTAATATAATGGAGTTTTCTGGGCAAATCAAATCAATCAGCCCAATTTTATTTAGTAGTTTGGTAATCGCTGCAAAAAGTACGACCAAAATAAAAAAATAATCAAAAATGGACTGACAAAAACACATAATCTCTCACTTAGAATGACAACACATGGATCTTGCAAATAAGAAGCTGCTTTCTCTCTTGAATCTTGTTTTTAAAAATAACATGGCTTCAAAGCACTGATAACTGATGCGCTCCACACACCGCCGAGGCTGAGAAAGGTGGAAAAACACTCATCTTGACACGGGACAAAGGTGAATTTCTTAGTGTGATGAAAAGGGTAAAGTTAGCACATCCCTGTATATAACCGCCAGGCTGTAAAACGGCAGGACATGGCAACCCCGGTGTGATGTGTTGATGTGTTGTCAAGATGCAGAAGTGAAGTGAACAGAAGTGTTAAAAAGGGCTGCGTTTTTGCACGAGTAATGACTTTTACTGGGTCAGAACCAAAATATCTATAGTTGTTGTAAAAAGCAATTACAGTATGTTGGAACACACACATTCTAACAGGGGATTCCTCCACCTACACTGCAAAACATTAAAAAAAAGTTTAAAAAAAATGACTTCAAATAGGTTAAGTTTATGTGATTTTGCCGATGGGACAAGGAAGAAAGAAAACCAATCTCTCAGCAAAATGAGAAAAACATTTGAAATATAATTTAATCCAGATCAAACTATACTAAATTGACTTCTGTGGCGATTTTTAATTCTAGGTTTAAAACGGTTCTGTTTGGCTGTGCATACAACTGAATGATTTTATTTTTAGGTGCACTATGGGTATTTATGAATTTAATCCCGTGTGTGATTTTAATGTTTTAATGTTTTAAATTACTTGTGTGATTTTGTTTTTTATGTTTTTAAATGTTTGTGTGATCTCATTGTGTGTTTTTAATGCCCTTTGTGATTTTAATTGTATTTTTTATGTTTATGTGGATTTTAATGTCTAGGGTTTATGCATGATGTAATATGGGTTGTGAGGCGCCTTGTGTTACCTTGTGTAGGAAAGGCGCTCTAAAAATAAAAGTTAATTGATTGATACGTGATTCTACATGTCTTATATTTGATTTTTTTTTAAGAGCACATCAAAAAAAAAAATCATAGTTCGAACGATCCTTTGACAAGCTAAAGGCGTTCATTTCTCATATTTCTATTGTCATTCCAGCAGTAGGAACACAAGACACATAGCAGTATATATGAGAGATTAACGCTTTTGTCTAAAAACATGTCGAAATATTGAGCAGTATACATCCATAATTACATTTTAGGAGCAAAAATGTATTCTGGTAACTAAGTACCTTTAAATAAGTACACTATGCAAATTAGCAGGAGGGGTTTACGGGTAATAGCTACAGTTATGGCTATGATTGCAAGCAGCATCAGGAATATTCAAATTAAGGTTGTTATTTATATGCTTCTCAAATATATATAGACAGGATAAATAATACAATCATTTCAGCGGGCACATTGGGATACCACATTGAACATTCTATAAACGTGGCTAAACCTTAAAATCTACAGAATACTACACATGCAGAAGCCAAAACAGTGAGGATAGTAGTCTAACATATACATAGTGAAGGTTCTCAAAGGACAGCTCAAGGACGTTCACGTGGGAAAGAAACGTGACTGAAAATTCCTGGTCCACAATTGGACTAAAATTTCGACGGCAGATTTCACGTTCTCACCTCGGTTGTTTTGACAGTGTTTTTATTCACACGCGTTGCTGTTGTGACAAATTTTGAATTGGGAAAGTTGCAATTAACAGCTTCTGACACAGCGCTAAAGAAGCCGGAGTGCAATTTATAAGGTAGGTTGAAAAAAACACATATGAGTGATGAAAAAAATAAAAAAATTCAAAAGAGAGAGGGGTGTATAAAATGCTAGAATTGATGAAAGTTTGTCTTCTAGTTTGATATTTACCAATGGAATGAGGCGTTTTAGGGCTATCTTAAGATTTGTTTGTTATTTAAGCTTGTTCAATTGCTAACCATATTTTTGGATGCAAACAGATAGACTCAAAACAAGTTAATATTACAAGTTAATAAGTTAAGTACTTTTTGGTATAATTAAAATTGCGTAATTATTGTCCTAAATATCAACACAAAATCATTACAAATTGTACTTTTTATTGATGTTTACAGTAAAATCTTATATTTGTCCAACTTTAAGCATGCATTGTATTCTTAAAGTGTTAAAAATGCTGATTATTTAGTGTTTTGAATTTGACAGTGCAACAGTGGTGGTTTCTGGGAGTTGGTATCTTACCTGGTTTGAAGGACCCGAGATGGGGGTCTTAGCAGCACCTACAGAGACACTTTGGACGGTACCCCCAATGTGGCCGCTTCGAAGGCCAGACCGTGGAGCTCTTTTCTGGGGAGGGGGCAGCAGCCAGATCCCAGTGAATGAGTGGCTGGACGGGTGGGTGTCACTTCTGTATGTTGTCATTGGCATTTGCTTCACGGGCGACAGGGCGACTAAATATAGTTAGTCCACTGCTGCTCTTTTAGAGTGAGTTATTTCCGCGGCTACAGTTTGGCTGCTTGTCCGGCTTGATTCCTTCATTAACATTCAGCATAAAAGGCCAGAGCATGTAAGAGTAAAACCATGACTTCCTCCATAACGTTGTATTAAAAAAAAGAAAAAAAAGTGAACCAAGAAAAACTGAGGTATCTCACTTTTTTACCTATAAAGAATACATTGGTTTTTTCCAATAGAAAGAGTAAAAGCAAACTCACAGACTGGCCGACTTTAGCTTACTATACATACAGTATATGTAGTTATAAATACAGTATATGTAGTAATAAATACAGTATATGTAGTAATAAATACAGTATATGTAGTTATAAATACAGTATATGTAGTAATAAATACAGTATATGTAGTTATAAATACAGTATATGTAGTTATAAATACAGTATATGTAGTTATAAATACAGTATATGTAGTAATACAGTATATGTAGTAATACAGTATATGTAGTTATAAATACAGTATATGTAGTAATAAATACAGTATATGTAGTTATAAATACAGTATATGTAGTAATAAATACAGTATATGTAGTTATAAATACAGTATATGTAGTTATAAATACAGTATATGTAGTTATAAATACAGTATATGTAGTAATAAATACAGTATATGTAGTTATAAATACAGTATATGTAGTTATAAATACAGTATATGTAGTTATAAATACAGTATATGTAGTAATAAATACAGTATATGTAGTTATAAATACAGTATATGTAGTTATAAATACAGTATATGTAGTTATAAATACAGTATATGTAGTTATAAATACAGTATATGTAGTTATAAATACAGTATATGTAGTTATAAATACAGTATATGTAGTTAATACAGTATATGTAGTTATAAATACAGTATATGTAGTTATAAATACAGTATATGTAGTTATAAATACAGTATATGTAGTTATAAATACAGTATATGTAGTTATAAATACAGTATATGTAGTTATAAATACAGTATATGTAGTTATAAATACAGTATATGTAGTTATAAATACAGTATATGTAGTTATAAATACAGTATATGTAGTTATAAATACAGTATATGTAGTTATCTGTTGCAGACTGTGCCCTGTGACTATTTGGATATTTGGGCGGAGCCTTGATTGGTCGAGTAAGGGTGCTCCTCTGTTTTTGACTTTTTTATCTGGAAAAGCTGATTTATGTGTCTGGAAACTATTTTAAGAGCAAGGAATGAGTTAGACTTCATTTTTTAGGAACCCCAGCACATTAGATTTTAATAATCAGAATATATTTTATATTTTTCATGTATCCAAACTCCTCCTCTGTCCAGTAGAAGTTGCTAAAACAAAACACTTTTATACATTAGACAAGTTTCCTGAAGCGGCCCTGTTTATTTTATGTGACGTTGATGATTCGACCAAATGAGCTGCAGAAGTTTGTTACGTATTTTTTTACACAAAGTAGAAACAAAGTGATACTTTCTTATTAAACCAATTAAATGTGAAACCAGACCAGATTTTTTTTTCCTTCTCAAGTTTAATTGTTAGAGAAAATGAACAGAAACCATCACGTCAGTTACACATTTTTCAAGGGTAATTTAATTTTTTTTTTTTTTCAACGATTCCTTTTTAAATAAAGTGATTAACTTATGTTGTGTTATCCATGTTAATCTTGTGGGTGTTCATCTGCCGCTTTTTCAGACTGAGGACATTATATTTTCTATGTAACTGGCGTCACAGCAGAGTGATCAAATCAAAGGCTGGTTTGGTCGTTTAAAACGTCGGCAAAAATATATTTGTCAATCTTTCCTTTTGATTTTATCCACACTCTTCAATGTGTCTGTGTTTGAAATCTTTTTTCCAATCTATGATAGTAATTTTAGTTTTTGAGTTACAACCTTTTAAAGTCCAGATACTTTAATTGACACTTTACTGTGAACACACTCTAGTCCAAATGCTCATGTAGAAAAGTTTTCTCATAAGAAATAGAAAACATGTTGTGGTCTGATTTGTTCAGGCAATTTTACTTTTACAAAACTCTTTCCATTGGGACAAACAAAATGTATTAACAAAGTATATTATTGTGTATGCTTAATTGTCTTTTCATTTCCACCCACCATTAAGACCATGGTTACGGCCCTCTCCCCTTAGCTCTCCCTAATGGATTAGCTGTAATAGGGACCCACGGGTGTTATGCAACTACTGCCTTCACCATGGGAACCAGACCCCTCCCTGACCCCCCCACTTCAGACAAAAAAAAAAATAACACACATTTATAGGATGGTACAGCAAGCAACAAATGGCCCAGAGCAAAACGTTTGGAACCAAGAACAAAAGAGAACAGAACAATTTGTGCTGCAGTGCTATTTGCCTGCATTTATTTGGTTTCGTGTGAATCGACAGGAGAATTACTGAAGCAAATTACTGGCAATGGCGCAAACAGTGATTTGGAAGGCGGTACAAACAGCCAAAAATCCCACCGGAGACACTGTGTTAAAGATCTGAGGCTTTTCATCGCACACGAGAGGATTTAAGAGCCAAAAAGATCTTAAGCTGCAAAAAATGACAAACATGTTCATATTTAAAATGATAAATGTATCTTGATTTTGATGAAGTTGTGAGTCTTTAATGTGCCATTTGTACAAGAATAAAATGTCTAAGCAGGAACTAGAAATATAAACATAGCTTAAAATACACTTGTTATAATTGTCATCTTTTGTTCTAACCGCTTTACTGGTTTGTTGATTGTATCGGACGATTATGAAGTCTTGCGATTTCACAGACTTTTTCGTTGTTGTTGGAAGTTACTGCCTCCACTCACCAACCTAAATGTTGCCAATCTCACCTTATACATCATTTAACCCTGTAGAACCCAGACATAAAATACTAGTCTAACACAAAAAAAAATCTGTGCTTTTTTTGGAGAGCCGACTACAATCACCAAATTTGGCAATGTAGCATATTCTTTGGGTTCTTCGGTACATACAATAGTTCATGCATTAAATAAAAAAGTCATGCTTCTTTTGCCTTAACCGTCAAACTTTATGTAGCATATTTGTAACCTAGGGTGCTACGGGGTTAAAAACTGTTGTAGTATTGTATAATCCACGTGGCTATAATGTAAAAGTGTAAACAGCCAGGACAGGCCGTGCCTTTCAGACAATAATTACACGTTCACATTCAGCCAATTTCAACTCTGCTAATTTTAAGGCTTTGAAAATTTGTACTTACTGTATTTGTGGCAAGGATACAAAATGCAGAAAAAAACGTCCCTTATGGGAGGAAAAGAATTGTCTAAAAAATCGGATATTGGCAGAGCAGAATCCCAAAATATTGTCATTGCCTCCAGAAAAAACCTGACGGCCCCATGTTAAAATACACTGAAATCAAGTGTAAATTAATTCAAGTTAATACGAACATATTTGTCTTTTTAATTGTAGCGATATCAGACAAAACAACACAACACACGAGAATATGTCCCAATTCTGTAACAAAAAAAAGTGTTTGGGAATATAAATAAAACAAAGCAAGAAAACAATAAAATAATAAACTTTTACTTTGGCAACAACTGACAATGTTGACGGCGTTCATTGACAGCTCTGTGAATGGCACACTCTACGGTGACTGAAAATACGAAATCACTCCGGACACACGCCTGCACCAACAAAGGTACCAACAAAACCACAACACCTGAATAACAGCCCATTCAAACATGGAAGAAAACGTGAACATACCCGCTCTGTTTCGCTCGGTAAAGTTGGCCGGGTGTTATCAACAAGATTGCGTCCCTTTAAATGTTTATCCCCACAGCTCCACATCGGGCTGTTTGTCTGAGCAGTAAAATCTGTAAACCTGCTTTTTGTGTGAAAACTTTAAAAAACTGCTTTTGTGCCTCTTATAACAGGCTTATTCACAACTTGCAGACGGCCAATAAAATCTGATCCAGCCACGGCCCATCTTCCTCCTGAATACTGATTGTGTATATTGATGTAGATTTAAAATGTTTGTTGTGTAATGTGTGAACTGAGTCTGGTGAATTCAGGGAAGATTCAAGGACAAGGTTTCTGTGATTTAAGTATCATTTTTAGGAACATAATGTCTTTCTTATCGGGACAGAAGGCATGAGACCCAAAACCGGACTAGACCAGACCCAGACCAGGGCCTCAGTCGGTCTCACCATATGACGTCATCGGACATTATGATAAAAGTGTTGGTAGGATATTTTGTGAGCAGTCTGAGCAGGGACAGAGAGGGGTTACCGCAGAACCTGGATGTCTTCTCACTACATTTTCAGGCCTGGAGGGAGAGTTAAAATGGCTCAGCTCATAGTTAGGTTAGTTCGGGAATTAATAGCTCCAAGAGTTTTGTATTCATATTTAATTGTAAAGATAATTAAATATTGTTTTATATTTAACTCTTGAATGCATGATCTTAGTTCTGCATAATATTCTGACACACGTCCGTCATGTTTTTATAATATTAATCTTATAATTCCTCCTGAATACTGATTTTGTCCTGGTTAAGGCTTAATTATGGGTTTGTTTGGTGGTAGTTCAATCCAGGTTTGAGTTGACGTTTAGCAACCATTGTGAAAAAGTCATAATTAAATCAGATGAAATGTAAATAGGTTGCGTTCATGTTGGAGAATTCTATTTCCGTGTTTGGGGCGGGTGCCTTTACAGCTCTATGGGATTAACTTCCCACTTTCTTCGATGATTCAGAGCGTTCTTTACTGGCTAACGTCATGCATATGTTTTTGGAATATTGTGGCCACTAAAAAAAAATAACTACGCAATGGTTGATATTTGACAAAGAAGATATGAAACTTTGCGACAGCTTTTGTTTAATGTGGATTGGCCCAGGAAACACAAAGAAATGAGCTAATCACGACTTTAGACGGTTGCCATAGTTACCAGGACAGATTATACAGCTGCCTCCCACCACAATTTTACACTATAGCCTCATTGGAATGTTGTGATGTCACATGAACGCAACCTATTGGACATGAAGTATATATTCACAATGAGCCATAATCCATCTCTGAGACTGTGGCCCTTTAAAAACAATCTGACCCTTAGGAAATTGAGACCCTTAGGAATTAGACGCAATTATACACGCAGCTACTCCTCTATGCATGCAGTAGGTCTCCATAAACAGTAGTATGCACGGTTTTCCATGCACACAATAACGCAGAAAATTAAAATGCACCTGGCAAGTAAGTAAGTTAATCTCCCACTGCGGTTTACATAACAACAAGTCCGCCCACCACCTTCCTCCCTTTTATAAGCCCCACACTGCAGCCATAATTGCTTTTTAATTTGTGCGCCAAACTACCTGCCACTCAGCATTCGTAATATATGAGAAAAATAACATGTTAAAAAAAACGGATTAGCAGAAACCAGCATGCTAAATACATTCAATAAGAGGACAGCCAACGTTTTTCACTTTTGAGATCTGTACAGTAGCATTAGCCGATTATCGCTATTCCCCATGGTCCTCTATAGACTCGCTCCAGACACTGAAACCGTATGTTAAAATGCAAACTCCCGTATGTGCAAATGATAAAGGCACACCATTAGATTATAAGAACAAAAGGAAAGAGCTAAGAAGAACCTCAGAGTACAAACCCAATTCCATAGTGTACATAGAAATATTCAAGAAAACACATGCAAGAAATATTCATGTATCTGTTATGTCTGAATATGTAGTGTGTTTTACTGTTAGTGGTAAGATGCTTTACTCCATGCTCTCAGTTGTATGACATGCACTTGATATTACTGGTGCAAATAGACTTTAAAATGACATACATTATGCAAACTTATCTTTTTAAGCTTGGTACAGCATATTCCCTCATCAAAAGCATCCCTCATATCTTCTGTCTAAATTGTCTATGTTTCCAAATTCACGAACCAGACATCGAGAAAGACTGCCCTGGACTGTGACATTATGGACAGACATGTTTTCTGTCTTTTATAATAATAGAAGTGAATGCAGTTTTTCTCATTTCTGCAGTCAAATTCCAACGCCGTGTTAGATTTATATATAAATCCATCAGAATGTCCTTCTCCACTTTCTTACATAACAAACAACTTCACATTCTATCACATCAGGGTCCAGTGGGACAACAGGAAGATTGTGCATAATATGTGTTCTTTAAAGTTGATTTGGGTTTGTGTTTGAATTGGGTTTGCATTACAACTTTATCCACACGTTTTTACACAGATTTAGTTTCTGATAGAGAAACCACAGTGTGCCATATGTTACATTCATGTTCTAGAAGTCTATTTACGATGGAGGGCAGGAGTCAATACCATTTGATGAAACATTTTGCTATTTTGGATCATTATTTTATAGATTCAAGATGAAAGTAAAACCACATTGGAAAAACTACCCCAGTGTGCACCAGATAGTACAGACCAGCGCTCCTGCCATGGCGCCATTTTTCAGGTGCCATGTGACTACAACCACCCCAGTCGAAATTATGCATTATTTTTTTGTATATATTGTCACCACTTGTAGACACATGTAAGTAGGATATAATAATAGTTACTGAAAAAAAAACATGTCAAACTTTTTTTTTCCGTAAATATGCTGTTTTATGTAGATTGGCGCGCAGGAAAATCTAAGCTCAAGTCTAAACTAAGACTACAGCTCTAATATACCATAGTTACCAGGGAAAACTACCCCTAGCTGCCCTCCACCACAATATTAAACTCTTAGACTCCTTGGAATGCTGTGAGACAATAAAGGATTGATTGATTGATGTCACATGAACGCAACCTATTCCAATTTAACACATTCTTTCTTATCTCCTCCAACTCCAGCTGGTGTTACCGATCGCGACCGACTTATAGCCCTGCGGCCCTTGAAGCCTTCTGTGATCCGGGGAGGACGCATTAGTCACTGACCTCTGGGCCTGCCACTGTCTGGGCAGCGACCTGTACCCGGCAACACCAGCGCTGGACACCACGCCGCTTTGCACCGGCGGTACAAAAGACGGCAACGGCGCCCGAGCGTGTCCCCTGCTTTGGCTCCACGTTTGACTACCAGATTTCTTGGGAGCCTGATAAGAAACCCTTGCTTGCCAATCGGCCGGCGGCTCGGGCAGGACTTTGCGTTGGGCGGCCAAATGGACAGACGACGCCAATGTGTGCTGGAGGTCTTGGACGACGAAGGCTTCATCCACCAGGCCCAAAGGGTGACGGGAAGCTGCCTCCCAGGGCGTGAGAGGCTTTCTTGGCCTGGGACCGAGCCGAGATTGCTGGCCCGCGGATGGCACTCTGGCTGGTGGGGAAAGAGAGTAGCTCCTGCCAAAAGCCTGTGAAAAAAAAAGGAAAAAAAGGCCAGACATGTTTGTATTAGTAAGGATTGTGTTTAGCTGAGAGAAGTGCAGCCAAATCAAACAAGTTCTATTGAAAACACACACAAGTGAGGGTGAAGGGGGACTATGTTATGGCTCTTTCTTAGTGAACTCCTGGCTCAAGTTCAGTACAAGAACAAAAACAATAACAGGATTTTGGTTCTTATTTCAATTGTTTAGCTAAATGTGGGGTCGCTGACTTATATTAAAAAAAAAAACCCTTTCATTCATTTGATCAAAAAGTATTATTTTGTGAACAAATGAGATCATAACATAGTCTTCATCTTACTAGAAACGGTTTGAATACATAAGACAGATCCCTGAGTCCTAGAAATCTGGTCTAAGGATTGGTCAGAGGCTAAGAAAATACTTGAGATAGTGATAGAACCAAACTGTTTTGAGATGGATTTTATTACCGTACGGTACTGGTGGCGTATGTGGGTTAGGTATTTTTTGTGTCACATTAACCCAATGTGGCAAAAAATAAAACTTAAACTTGACTGTTTGGCACTGGAGGTTTATCTTCAGACTTATTCTTACTAGTACCTATACAAGGCTTATTATGCTTTAAAATGGCCAAACTGTAATGAAATGTGGACAGTCATGAGCAAATTGTTTTAAATATAATCTTGACTGTTTTTTGAAGAAGTACAGTCTAACCTGTCCTTTGCTTTAAGCAGGACGAGAAATAACTTTTATGCATCGTTATGACAACTTCCAACTTCTACAACTACTTTCAAAACTAACTGAGCTTCTTCCATCGCTGCTAAACAGGCATTTCAACAATAATATTTGAAGCACTATATATTCACACACTAATCTCTCTAAGTCTTAATATTTTTATGTCTAGAAATGTATTGAATTTGGGGGTGTTAGGGTTGGCATTGGCCATGGATGGGGGCTGACATGATGAATACAATTGAAAATGTTAATATTGCGAACTGAAATGTACATAGGCCTAGTATTTAAGAGCACTGCACACTTGCACATTGTGTTGTATTTATAGTCAGCACACCATTCACTTTTGGATTGTAACTTGGCTCATAATTCATTGTAAAAGTCTGTCAATAAAGTTAAGCTAAAATAAATGGCGCGCTAAAGCTCTTAAAAGCCTTTAGCCCTGTTCACTCCGGCTGAACTGGAGCCACTGTTTCCCAGAATCAAAGTGGGCTTCCCGGGCTAAGCCACAATCATTTGGTTCCAATTACATTTTTCCCTCTCCTTCAGTAAATGGTATCACTGCATCAGCCAACCATCAGTAACATGGCCAGACAGAAAAGGGGTTATATGGGGTGGAGGAAATGATTGTACTGCACAGTTCACTGCCTTTTTGCATCATGTGAAAGTGATTTTACTTACAAAACAGTGCAGTACTGACATCTAGTGGTGAAACGGGAGACGTGGGAGAATATGGACAAACAAGATTTGGAGACAATAAACAAAGGCTACATCCAATTTCATACCAAACACCTCCTTATCTCTCCTGGTTTCAGGTTTCATTGACTCTTGTGGCATTCAGTTTGATATAACAAAACTAATGTTTAACAAGTGTTACACTTGGTTAAATAAGAGAACATTTGGATTATTTATCCAATCTGGGGAAATGTGTTTCAGCGTTCAGCATTACTTCAGCGGAGTAAAAGAAGTACTCTAAAGAAGATAAAGAGCTACAATGTTAGAAACTATATATATACTAATAATCTTGTATTGTTATACCTTAAAAATCTTGAATCAAAACCTAATTCATGAACTTTTCTGAACTTGGGTGCAGCCACAGTTGGAAACAAGAATATAGTGGTATAAGTGGTAATCTGCAGTGGTAGATTTTTAACTTAAAGCAATGTCTACATATAATTTGAGGTGATTTGAGGCATTTGAGCTTGTTCCAACGTCACTCGTCATGAATCCAAATAGTCTGTAAAATGTTGCAATCAAATCAGACCACACCATTCTGTTGATCTCACTTAAAAAAGAGCCCTGGGAGTCAGTATTGAGACACTCAGGGCTGAGAGAGGGTTAGCTAATCTAAATACAAATATGTGAAAACTTCCCTAACTGTTCGGAGAGCTACTGTGTTTAGTTCCGTTCTTGTGGGTTGAAAAATGAATGTGACTGCATAATGAACTGTGCATGTGGTATACCGCTAATCATCACTCGATCATATTTCAATATAAATAGCAAAGGCCTCGACAACTAATTAATATGAAGTCCCTCCTCCTTTCTGAGATTACATGACACACCAGAGCTATAGATTTCAATTCTCCCACTTTTACCAACGGCGTCACCCATTGCCTATGAGGTCACCGGTCTTCAGCCTAATAATATGCCCCTTCACTTAGTAATCGTGTGGGAATGTGCTGCACAAGCATTCCTCAGAAGATACTTTAGCCGATGAGGTGTTTGCGGCTTCCTATAAACTGTAATTTATGCAGTTGTTGAAAATCTCTTAATGCAAAGTGCAATGTTACAATAATAATGGCACATAATGGCAACTAACAAGTATCAATTAAAGGAAAAAAAAAGTGTGAGACTTTACTGGGAACTGTGAAAACTCATTACTCGAGCGATAAAGAGAAAGTGTGAATAAATGAAGGGATGAATCAAAGGGAAAGAAATTAAAACAGGGGTACATTTACATTTAATGGCACATAGGAGTGAAACATACAGAAAGTGCAACAAGGACAACAAAGGGGAAAAGGTGGAACAAATCAAAGCAAAATGATGTAGGAAAACAGCACGTTGACATCTAAGAAAGTTGAATGCAGTGAAAAGACAGTGGTAGTTATGAGAAAGAGAAGGTTTCATTTAGTGGCCTGAGTAGAAATTGAAAGTTGAAACCTCCCTCTCGAGAAGTACTTCAAAAATAGTATACAACATGATGCAACAGCTGGTCTGTCCTTAAAATAAAGCTAACCTACATATGTGAGGGAACAACTCAAGATGAGACTAGTAAAAAAAAATCTTATTTGAACTGGGTTTGTATAATTTTTTAACATGAAGTGACATAAACTATAACAACAGGACGGTCATATCACCTGGATATTTCATTTATGTATCAGTCTTACACAAGGCACTGTAGCTAACTTTCCTTTGTCACCATCTTAATGCCAAGGTCAGAGGTCCCTGCATTAGTTTACACACATTCTACATCATCCCTCTATAAGTGAGTGCATCATTTGTGCCACAATGAACATTTAAAAATATATACCATTTACTATAAACCATATTAACAGTTATTTCTCAATATGACACTTTCAGATTACTCACAATTTAAATAATACATAGTTCTATGCACTGGCTTCAGCTAGAATGTATAATTTGTGCTAGATTCACTCTTTTTCACCTCCTGACGGTTTCCAGACCTGAGCCGAGCTCTTTTTAGCCATAAATTTGGGTTTGGGGGCAGTAGTAGGGTTAGCAGCTGAGGACTCTGGTCTGGCTGCTATGGGATAGCTGGGAGCTGTACTGGGAGCCTGGTACTGCGCAGAAGGGGCAGCCATGTACGGGGGGCTTTGTGCTGGAGGGTAGGGGGCCTGCGGTGCCTGTTGGTAGGGAGAGGCAGTGGACTGTGGGCCCTGAGCTGGATAAGCTGGTGGAGGTGGCTGCTGATAAGGCTGATTGTACATTTGCGGGTACGGGCCTGGAGACTGCTGGTAAGCGTACGGATACATGTTGGGTGGGGGCTGCTGGTAGGGACCCTCATGCATCATTGGTTGACCCATTTGATAAATTGGCATCCCATAACCCTGTGGTGCGTACTGAGGGCTCATCTGTGCAGCCTGTTGCATGGCCATTTGCTCATATGAAATCTGTGGCTGGTTTTCTACAGGTGGGTTAGGGGGAGGGCACTCTGGCTTTGGAGCAGGGGGCTTAGCCTCTACTGCTGGTCCAAAGATGAACAAGGAGGAATCGAGCTGATATGGCTGATGTTTCATTACTTCTACAACATTAAGGGGTTTAGGGGGAGGAGGAGCTGGTTTCTCTTTGTCTTTTTTCTTAATTTTAGGGCTGGTAGAGGGAGGGGGCTGTTTGCAAGCTGCAGGAGGATACAGAGGAGACTGAATAGGGTTATAGGCTCGAGATGGTGGGGCACGTACATTAGGGGAGTATTTCCATTCTGTAGGTAAAGATGTAGCAGGTGAAGTGGAGCGGCTTGCCTTGTTTGCTTCCACAGTCTCAGAGTCCACAATATATTTCTCCATTCGTGACTGTCTTTTAGCAAACATGTCTGCTCCTTTTCCTTTGACGGTGGGCATCTCGTAGGAAGGACCTGCAGAAGACGGAAGAACTGTAGCCATGGGGTTCACAGGTGGTGACGTTCTTTGGCCAAAAGTGAAGGAGGAGATTCTCTGTGGAGGCGGTGGAGCTGGAGAGGATCTGCTCTGTGGGGCCTGCCATGGCTTTGGAGATGGTTGTGTGTTGACCAGGGATGTGCTCACAGAGGTGGGTTGTGATGACTGCCCCCATGAGTTTGGGAGTTGAGGCTGAGCAGGAGGCTGTGGGGAGGTCTTAATTGGAGGCTCCTGCCAGTTGTTCACTGGCTGCTGAGGGGCCTGGGGTGAAGGTCCTGGCTGGGCCCAACGGTGTTGTTGCTGGGGCTGGCTTTGGTCTGGACCCCACTGGTTTAGAGGCTGCTGGCTCTGCTCTGCTGGCTGCTGAGGCCATGCCTGCTGAGGCTGAGGCTGAGGCTGGGGCTGATGTTGAGGCTGAGGCTGAGGCGGCACAGGGGCCCAAGGGCTCAACGCAGTCTGAGTCTGGGGAGGAGGAGGAGCAGACTGCATCCATGGAGGCTGGCTTTGAGGCTGCTGAGAGCTCCATCCAGGCTGCTGCTGAGCGGCCCCCCAGGGAGGCTGAGGCTGACCGGGGGTCTGTGGCCACCCCTGAGGAGGACCCTGTGGTTGCTGCATCCACGGAGGATGGGCCTGAGACTCTGGGGCTTGTTGCACCCACGGAGGCTGGGCTTGGGGAGTCTGTTGGGGCTGCGTCACCCATGGAGGCTGAGGCTGCTGCTCCTGAGGCTGGACCCAGGCTGGATGCATCTGCTGCAGAGGGGGCTGCTCCTGAGGCCAGGGGGACTGCACCGCAGGCTGGGGGTGCAGCTGCACATGAGGACTCCAGGCGTTAGTCTGTGGCTGAGGCGGCTGGACCGGAGCAGGCTGGCGGGTCACCCAGGGAGGCTGTGGAGGCAACTGAGAGTGCGGAGGCTCCGGAGGAGGGCCCTGGTGCCAGGAGTTGGAGGCCTGAGGCTGAGCTAGGGGCCATGAGGCAGGAGAGGGCTCAGGCTGCACCGAGCTCATCGGTACTCTGTCCTCGGGAGCTGCGGTGACTGGAGCCGGTAACTGTGGCTCAACTGTGGGCGCACTCCACGTGGGCTGCTCCTCTGCAGCAAAGTTGGGAGGGGCCTCTAGTGGAGCAGAGGGGGTGGGGGGCTCAGGGGCAGGTGCTGGCTCCACTTCTATGGCAGGAGTAGTGTCAGCAGGGGGGGGCACAGCAGGTGTTATCAGGCTATTTTCAGTGCACACAGGCATGTCCTGGTTGGTCACTTCTATCGGCACAGCCCAGGGCAGAGCGTTCGGGTTGATTGCTGGCTTTGGAGCCACTGGAGGAGGAACTTTTGGTTTGAATCTTGGAGACTGAAGAAAATTACAAGCTTCAGCACCAAGACTGAGATAGTCCTCTTCGGTACCTGACTCATAGCCCAGTTTCTTGTCCCCTCTGTGTAAGAGATTTAGGAGCTCTGGGTTGGGTGAAACCTTTGGAGCTTGTTTAAAGTTGAACATGGGTTTCCCACCAGTTCTCCTCCTTGTGTCCAGAAGGATGCCTGTCTTGATAGCAGGAGTCGAGATTCTCTCATCGCGTGAGGCTATTTGCTCTCCTTGTTGCTCTTGGTTGTCCCCGTTTTCCGGACAATAAGCCACGTCTTCTGCTGCGAAGGGTTTGGCGGTGCGGTTGCTTAGCGCGCTCTGCATCTCGTTGGTTAGCTGCTGCATCGTTCCGTTCATGTTTGAAGTATACTGCTGGTACTGCTGCTGCTGTTCTTGGTGGTATTCTTGCTGCTGATACATCTGCTGCTGATACTGCTGCTCGTACTGCTGCTGGTAAAGCTGATGCTGTTGCGGCTGATAGTTTTGTTGTTGCTGATAATCTTGTTGTTGTTGTTGTTGATGATAGCTTTGTTGTTGGTAGGCCTGTTGTTGCTGCTGCTGATAATTCTGTTGTTGGTAGTGCTGCTGCTGCTGCTGTTGATGCTGCTTTTCATAGTACTGTTGCCCTTGATACTGCTGATACTGCTGCTGAGTTTGCTGATGCATATTGACATCCATATATCCACGGCCCTCTATCGCAGACTGCATGTAAGTGTGTTCTTCCATCTTCTTCTGCACTTCCTGCATTCCATCCACCGGAATCCCCTGTCGCCGTAGCTCTTCGTGCTCGGCCGATATCTCATCCATCCTCATACGTCTCTGGGCAAACATCAACACACCTTTTCCCGTTGTGTCGTCCATTTTGACTGGACTGTTCAAGTTTCGTTCAAACTCAAGGAGGCCCTTATCAAAGGTTATACTTAGCACGGCCGCACTACTCTTAGCATTGGTTGTCTGGATATCCTTGGATGGCACTAAAGTCAATTCGACAGCGTGTGAATCCTGGTCTCCGTCCTCGTCCTCGCTTCTGTCCTCTTCCCCGGTCCCGTAGCTCACAAGAGTGTATTTCTTGGCTCTCTGTCGGTGCTTCTTGAACATTAACACCCCCTTGTTGTTGGGGTTGGGTGGGGCAGCCTTCAGGAGCAGGGCGATGCGTTTACATTTGGACTTGGCCTCCTTTACATGCTTCTCAGACAGGCTCTCACTGCGCCTGAGCCCTGCAAAACACACAAAAAGTCAAGTCAATTTAGTTATAGAGGATGATAAAAAGAAACAAAAATAGTGCTCTAATTGAAATAAAGGTTAAGTTACTTTTTAAATAATTTATTAACAGGTAAATCCACTCCCCAGTGGTTTAACTATTTGCATCCTCGCTGCAGTTATGCCAAGGAGAGGCAATTTTACATATATTATAAAGACAAAAAATACATTATTGAACAAGGCCAGATTATCAAAACCCATTATTTTGAATATGTTAAGTTTTGAAATATGCACTTTTGTATAAGAGAGCTTTGCATCTCAATGGAATTTTTCCGAATTCAATAAAGGTGAAAGAAGATGAATATGTGGGTCAAATATTACTGTCATTGATTCATGAAATAAATAAATTGATTGATTGATTTATCTTTGTTATGTATATGCTACATAGACAGTGGTCAATATACCAGACTTTTAAAACAGAAAACCAACTGCAATGTAAATATAAAATGTCCATATGAACAATAAGAAATCCAAACGGGAAGAATTTTGCTTTAGAAAGTCTCAAGAAATAAATAGTATTCATGCAAACATCCACAATAAAGCCCAGTGTTATGGATTCAACTGCTAGCAAAGAGATCCCCATGCACTTTTACATCCACACACCAAAAGACATTTAAATCCACTGACCCATATCTAATACAAATTTATTCAGACAATTTGCCATTTCGAATTAGACCTTCACCTCCATAAACCAGTCAGTGCACGTTACGGGGACCATAAGCTCAAAGATGCTCTGATGCACAATGCTTTCCAAGTAATTTCAACCATGCACACACTACGCCAAAATACTTTCCAATACAAATACACACATAAGAATGACGCTCAATTGCTCGGATAACACTCCATTTCCTGCAATCTATCATTAAGAAAAAGTCTATTTCTACAAGACTAACCTGAAGGTGGGAGCAGCAGCGGGAGTGAGCAACGGGCTGACTTTTTTAGCCCGGTTTAAACATCCAGTGGAGGGGTTTCGGATGACAGGGGCATATACAACTGCTGGTGTCTGTCAAAGTCATCCTCAGCGTGGCCGTGTGTATTTATGTCCCCAACGCACTTCATTGAAACGCCCCCAAATACTATCCTCCGCAACACACAATTCAATCAATCAATATTAGACGGATTTGTCCTCTTTTTGCCTGCTTCATTTAGCATCAAAAACATCAAAGTTGCTCAAATAGAAGCTTCAAGAACTAGAGATTCTAACGCACCCGGATGCATCTCCTTGTATTTCAGGTCACATTCCTGCAACCACTATTCTGAGGACAACTCTATCGCTCAAACGTTGTCCCCAGCTTGCAAGTCTCTAATCAAAAGCGCATTTCTAATATATTAACAAAGCTTTAGTACTTACTGGCATGCCTCGCTCTGTGTTTATGCGGCTGATCCGGGTCTTCCTCGGATTCCCCAGAGTCGGGATCTTGGGTGGCTGCTGGTTCCTCTGTGGCAAATGTCACAGTAAATGACTTGGGCCCTTCCTGACTTTCTTCTTCGCAACTGATCTTAGGGCCACCCACATTGTTTCTTTCGCCCTGGTCGCCCCTCCCAACTCCTGGCAGGAAAACCTCCACCTGGCCTGAGGTAGTAGGAGCGCTGAGAACCACCCCTTGATGCCTACTTTGTTGTGGACGAGATTCGATAGTTTGGCGGGTAGAAAATCCATCCTCTGCATCTATTGTTTTCCCATTAGGCGCACCTGCATTATCATCGAGTTTAGACTTAGCCAAAGAAACTTGGAGTTCAACCAGATTCCCAGGAGCTGAGGACATCAAAATATGTTCAGTTGTTGATTTTTGATGAGGCAAATGTAACTCTGTGCTGAGAAGTTGCGGCTCCTTATGGATTTTGCTGTCACTGTCCATAACCGTATAACTGGCCTCATCCTGGGACTCGGAGATGTAAAGTTCCCTGGGACTGGGAGGTCTGTGTTTAGGAGAAAGGATGTGCAGCGTGGTGGTCTCCAAAGCATCACCACAAGATGTCTCGTCTGGATCGCTGTCTTCTGATGGGCCACTGCTGCATCTGTAAAGACACATGAAAGACATTCAAATTAATAGGGATTGTGTCATTACGAATGTTCCTGGAGGTTTGTGTGAAGAGTTGCGGTATCGGATCAACGATATATTTATTTATTTATTTATTTGGTGTATAGGCATTGGAACATACTGAAATATTGGGGAACGTACATTTTAGTTTCAAGTTATAGTGGACCCATATCCAGATGTTGATGCTCGAGTACTGGAGCTGGAGGATTTTACCAGACACAGGGATAACATGCAAACTCCACTCAGAATATCCCCAGGATTCAAACCCAGAAGCTAATTTGCTGAGTGCTAACCACTCAACTAACATGGAGCCAGAGCCATAATCTAATAAGATTAGATCTAAATAAAGACGAGCAAAGAACTCTTTTAGTAACTATGTATATAAAAAGCAGGGTTTGTTCTTTGAAACAATTTGGAGTAACACAATCTGCTGCTGCTCCGACAAATCTGCTTTAAGGGCCCTATAGGCATATTTGTCCTCTGCATTTGACCCATCCTTCAAAGCCACGAGGGCTAATTGTCAGGGGCAGTGGTCCCTACAGTGCAGCATGTGGGGACCCTTTTGCTGGAGAATTTTACGTACGGTGCATGTTTTGGCTTAACAAACTTCCTTGTCAGCTAAATATACATTTATGTGTGTGTGGTTATTACAATGATATTATATTTAAAAAACACTTTCTAACAAGAAGCCACATATCAGCAGCCTCCCCGGCTCCTGCTGCGTCGCGGCTGAGCAGCTGCATGACAATGGCACACATAAATCCACAACACCGACACTGAGTGGACTGGAAGGTCAAACAAAGACGACAAGCATAACTCACTCACACACCGCGATGGATCTACAGTACACACTCTCTGTCTATTAGAATAAACAAGATGGCTGAGTCTTAAAACAACACGACATCTAAATGCTAATGCCATGTTATAGCAGCAGAAACAGGACATGCACATATTCCAACGGAAAAATTTACAATCAACATTTACATTGTTTGTATATGACAGAGTTTGTGCTCTGGTTTGTTCAAATACAATACACATCCAAATAAACAGGAGTTGGGTGACAATAAAATGATGAAGCAACAAAAAATTGAGTTTTGACTTTCAGGTAAAAGGCAAATTATGAAGATCTTACAAAATCAAAAAATCCAAGGCACTCGTGGTCAATAGTTTAGAAAGTTTAAAAAGCCTTTATTTTCTCATGGCTGTAAATAAAAATACGCACCAACGTGTCAGCCTAACTTGGCTGACACATGATTTATATAGGGAGGGTTTTTTTTGTGTGCATTGTCTAAGTTAAACCCCTCTTCCAATTGAGCACCTGGTCTTTTAAATAATTTTACACGCTTGTACCACGCAGCACTCCTTATTCTTTGTTTTTTGAGAAAAAGATAAAGTGGCTTGAATTGAAAGGGTAAGCTAATGTTATGTTAAGTAAAGTAGAAGGACGGTCCTTGTGCTTACAAGGACCGTCATAGCTAGGCTATAACTGATTGCTCACTGCACTCCAGAAGTGCAGTGTTCCTCCTCAGCAACAACTTTTAATGCAACCAAATCCCGTTATTAAGTTAAATTAAGTTTTTATTTTTGTGGTATTTTCTGGAGTGCTGTGCAAGAAGATTGATGAAGCTAGGTTGCTGCCGGGTGCCAAATAGGAGACAAAAGTTTGTGACAGAAAGCCTGGTTTCAAGTTAAAACACATACAAAATAAAACACATTTCAGAATCAGAATCAGAATCATTTTTATTGCCAACGTAAGTAACGGGAGGTCACAGACTTGGAAATTGCTTTGGCTCAGTGCAACAGTCAAAAAGAGATAATAAAAATAAGAATAAAAAACACTTCTAAAGAATAAATTTAAATTTAAAATAGAGTTACAGTTACTATTTACAATATACAAGTGCACATGGTGCACTCAATGTAAGGTGACAGCAGTACAGTGAAGTAAAGTGACGTATGATGGGCAGTAAAGTGACTTTATAAAGGGCGGGGGGACAGGTTAAGAAGTGTTCAAGAGTCCAACAGCAGAGGGGAAGAAACTGTTCTTGTGGCGGGAGGTTCTAGTCCTGATGGACCGCAGCCTCCTGCCTGAGGGGAGTGGTTGGAATAGTCCATGTGCAGGGTGAGAGGGGTCGGCTGTGATACGACCAGCCCGGCCTCGAGCTCGGGCGACGTACAGGTCCTGCAGCGATGGAAGGCTGCGGCCGATCACTTCCTCTGCAGAGCGCACAATGCGCTGTAGTCTCTGTTTGTCCCTGACTGTGGCTCCAGCGAACCACACGGTGATGGAGGAGGTGAGGATGGACTCGATGATGGCCGTGTAGAACTGCACCAACATCTGTGCAGGCAGCTTGGCTTTCCTGAGCTGCCGCAGGAAGTACATCCTCTGCTGGGCCTTCTTGATGAGAGAGCTGATGGTCGGCTCCCACTTGAGGTCCTGGGTGATGGTGGTGCCCAGGAAACGGAAGGACTCCACAGAGGTGATGGGGGAGTCCATCACGGAGGGTGGGGGCGGGGGGACAGTGCTCTTCCTGAAGTCCACAATCATCTCCACTGTCTTCTGGGCGTTCAGCTCCAGGTTGTTACCACTGCACCAGGACACCAGCCGGTCCACCTCCCTCCTGTAGGCGGACTCATCGTTGTTGGAGATGAGTCCAATGAGGGTGGTGTCGTCCGCGAACTTGATCAGCTTCACGGAGTCGTGGCTGGAGGTGCAGTGGTTGGTGTACAGGGAGAAGAGCAGGGGAGAAAGAACACAGCCCTGTGGGGCTCCTGTATTTATAATCCGAGAGTCCGAGACATTCTTCCCCAGACGCACTCGCTGCTTCCTGTCCGTCAGGAAGTCAGTGATCCACCTGCAGGTGGAATCGGGCACGTTGAGCTGGGAGAGCTTGTCCTGGAGCAGGGATGGCAGGATTGTGTTGAAGGCAGAGCTGAAGTCCACGAACAGGACCCTGGCGTAGGTCCCCGGGAGTCCAGGTGCTGTAGGATGTGGTGGAGGGCCAGGTTAATGGCGTCGTCTACAGATCTGTTGGCTCTGTAGGCGAACTGCAGGGGGTCCAGGAGGGGGGAGGTGAGGGACTTGAGATGGGAGAGAACCAGGCGTTCAAATGACTTCATGACGACAGACGTAAGTGCTACAGGTCTGTAGTCATTGAGTCCTGTGATCCTGGGCTTCTTCGGGACGGGGACAATGATGGAGGATTTGAAGCAGGCCGGGACATGGCAGGACTGCAGAGAGGAGTTGAAAATGTCCGTGAACACAGGAGTAAGCTCACTGGCGCAGTGTCTCAGAGTGGCCGGAGACACGTGGTCCGGGCCAGGAGCTTTGCGGGGGTGCAGCCTCAGGAAGAGTTGTTTAATCTCTTTAGCGGCTATTGTTAGGCTAGGGGCAGGGCTGATGGGTGGGTCGTTAGAGTAGTGGGGGGTGGGGGAGGGAGAGGTGTCAGGGGCAGCATCAAAGCGACTGAAAAATAAGTTCAGATCGTCAGCTAGCTTGTGGTCATCAGCACAGGGGGGGGCTTTGGGTTTGTAGTTGGTGATCTCCCGTAGGCCCCTCCAGACAGAAGCAGTATCGTTGTTACCAAACTGCTCCTGTAGTCGTTCTCTGTGCCGGGACTTGGCTGCTTTCAGTTCTTTCCTGAACTGATATTTAGCTGCTTTGTAGCCGCTGCGGTCCCCCTCCCTGAAAGCAGACTCCTTTGCTTTCCTGAGCTGCCGGAGTTTAGCAGTGAACCAGGGTTTGTCGTTGTTATAGATGACCCTGGTCCTTGTTGGAATGATGCTATCCTCACAGAAGTGGATGTATGACGTTACAGTGTCCGTATATTCATCCAAACTATCTGTGGCAGCTCTGAAAAGGTCCCAGTCTGTAGATTCCATGCATGCGCGCAGCTCTTCCACAGCTTCATCAGACCACACTTTGGAGCTCCTCACTGCAGGTTTCGAGAGCTTTAGTCTCTGTCTGTAAGCAGGAACCAGATGTATCATGGAGTGATCTGAGAAGCCGAGGGCTGGCTTGGGAACAGCGCGAAAAGCTCCGCGCACGGTGGTGTAACAGTGATCCAGAGTGTTCTCCTCTCTGGTCGGGCATTTGATAAACTGTCTGTATTTGGGTAATTCCTGGCTCAAGTTTCCCTTATTAAAATCCCCCAGGATAATAATCAGAGAGTCCGGGTATAAGCGTTCCATACACAGTACTTGCTCTGCGAGTGCGCGCTGAGCCTCGCGCGCGTCCGCGCATGGCGGTATGTAAACAGAGGCAAGAATGAATGAAACAATTTCCCGCGGGGAGTAATATGGTTTACAATGAATGAAAAGATATTCCAGAGCAGGAGAGCAGTGCTTGGAGATCACTGTCACATCGTTACACCAGTTTGTATTGACGTAGAAACAGAGCCCTCCGCCTCTGCTCTTCCCTGAGAGCGCACAATGGCGATCCGCGCGGAACAGCCCAAAGCCCTGCAGCTCCAGAGCGCAGTCCGGGATCCGCTCATTTAGCCAGGTCTCAGTGAAGCAGAGGACACAGGATGTGGCGAAGTCCTTGTTTCTTCTCATGAGCAGGCTGAGTTCGTCCATCTTATTGCCCAGTGAGCGTACGTTGGAGAGAAAAATGCCGGGGAGAGCCGTGCGCGCTCCTCTCCTCCTAAGACGCACCAGCAGGCCTCCTCGCTTTCCCCTTTTACGGGCCCACACTTTTTTGGCTAGAACATGAACTAAATCAGCCGCAGATGCCAAGAAAACAGGCAATAGGTCCATGGGAACGGTGGGTCGGATGTTCATAAGTTCCTCACGGGTGTAGGAACAGCCAGATGTATGGGGTAAGGTTACTGTCAATAAAGACGTGCATGTCTAAAAAAAATGCGTGCATATTTATTGGTATTTGTGCATACAAATATTTTATTAATTCATGATTAAGATAATACAAACTAAAAAGACATGGAATTTCGTAATTAAGAATAAAAAAATATATAAAACTGTATGTGTGATTTTGTACTTGTGAATGCAATTTTTTTTTGTGTGCTTGCATTTTCTTTTTGAAAATACGAATTTCAGCAGTGAGCAAACTGTCAGTATGACGTCACTGCTCACAGACATTAACAATCGAGCCTGCACAGAGTTGATCAACTTCATTGCCTAAAAACTAAACATGGCAGAAGGACACAACATAAACAAAGTGGCTCAAAATCAAGTATATAACTATATTTTATCATTTTGGTTGTAAATGAATGTGTAAGAAATATTAATTCCATAAATGTGTTCATAAGAAGATGTTTCTTGTCCCTCTAAAGGTTTTTTGGCAGTGTTGTTAGCTCCAATGCTAGTTTTATTTTCTTATCCTTATATTGTTTTATTCTACAGAAAATAATGCATTTATTTTAGTCTAAACAACAGACTAACTAGTCTTACTGAACTAGTGAGTAAAAGTAATGTGTCAAATGTACAAATATAAGATTGAGGTCCACAGGGACAGTGTCTGCTACGTCTAACAACCAAGGATGAATATAGCACAGAGGTGTTCTTCGTATTGCTCAGGGGCAGTAACAGCGCGAACTATGAATAATCTGGAGGGTTGGGGCTGGTATCAACACTTTAACCACATTGATTTGGGGCAAAGGCTTCATAAAATGTAACTGCTAAGAATGTAAAAATGTTGGTTTTAAAATAACATGGTAAGCTGTAAAACTAGCCTTGAAGCTAGTGTTAACTAAACACTGCCTAAAAAACGTTTCTAGAGAGGGACAAGAAACATCTTATGAACACATTTTATGGAATTAATATTTCTTACACATTTATTTACGACCAAAATGATCAAATATAGTTATTTACCTGATTTTGAGCCAAATTGTTAATGTTGTTGCCCTCTGCCATGAGCAACTCTGCGCAGGCTCGATTGTTAATGTCTGTGAGCAGTGACGTATTATTGACAGTTTGCTCACTGCTGAAATTCGTATTCTCTAAAAGAAAATGCAAGCACACAAAAAAGAATCGTATTCACAAGTACGAAATCACACATACAGTTTTATATTTTTTTATTCTTAATTACGAAATTCCATGTCTTTTTAGTTTGTATTATCTTAATCATGAATTCATAAAAATAAATTATGCACAAATACCAATAAATATGCACGCATTTTTTTTAGACATGCACGTCTTTATTGACAGTAACCTTACCCCATACAGATGCACAGTTAAAAAGTAAAAACAAAAGAAAAAGAGAGCAGCAAAGAGCCATGTCGACCGTACGAGGCGCCATCTTGAATCTCTCAGTAGCTGCAGTTGTACGACTCACCATTCTGGTCTCAAATGTTCTCGTGTAAAGCTTGGGTACCTAACTTATATTTTTTCCTAAAGTGATGTTTTTGTGCAACAGAAATAGTGAATAAATGAGACCACAACACAGTCTCCAGCTTGATAGAAAACATTATGTTGCATACTGAGAGCTGATTGGCTGAGTGAGGGGAGTCCTCTCTTTTTCACTTTTCTGTCTGCAGAAAGCTGATCTAAAGACGTGACAGAGGCCAAAAATTTGTGAAAACTAGTGATAGAACCAAACATTTTATTACTACACTATAAACAACCAGTTTACCCTTTACGACAATAGTTAGATAGATTTTATGACACAGTAAGTGAAACATGTTTGTGATTTTAAAATTGGATACTGCAGATTTAAGTCTATGGTCATGATTTATGTGTATGAGTAGATTATTATTGTTTTGTATGAGTAGACTGACCGTTACCTTTTGAGCAGCAGCTGCAGACAGTCTGTGGAGCTGTGAATGAGTGAAGAGGCCTCTTCCAGCGTCAGGTCTGCACTCGGCTCCCCGTTGATGGACACCACATGGTCCCGCTCCTGAATACCAGCCAGGAAGGCACAGCCGCCATCTTCTACCTGCACGAGAAAAGACATTTATTACCCCAAACCACTGCTGCGTATTACCGACGTGGTCCAGTTCTCAGCAGGGCAATCAGTGGAAACCTCTCTGCAGTTAAGCTCAAGAAGAATTGCTTCATTTTCACATAATTGCTTCTCGTGGCCTATAAAACGGTCCATTAATAAGACTATTTAATAAAGAGAAAGCCTGATACATTTTGCACAAAGACCACTTGTGCAGCAGGAGCGAAGGGCTGGATTCAAAGGCAATAAAAGAAAATGTAGACAATAAAAATCACAACTTTTTGTGATTAGATTCAATATATAAAAATATATTTGTAAAATGTTTCTGTGTGCCTCGTAAATGACAATGAACTGAAAAATCATACACATTACAGAAGAACGTTGAAGATATTTAACTCTTGAGAGAGTTTTGAGAGTTTTATTGAGAGTTTACTTGTTGGTTCTGTGTCTGTGTGGTTTGGAAACATCACAGATAAAGAAAAGAGAGCTTTAAACAAGGTGCTCCGCTCTGCAAAGAGGACCGTGGGCTGTGAGCTTCCTGTTCTGGAGATTCTTTATAAATCCAGACTTCTTAATAGAGCTTAAAGAATTATCAATGACTCTTCTGGCCACTCTGGAAAAGCCATGTTCCAGCTTCTTCCCTCTGGCAGAAGATATCGCTCTCTGAGATGCAGGACATCTCGTTACGCTAACAGCTGTTTTCCACAAGCTGTTATCAGTGTGAACAGAGCACTTTAATGATTTTCACTTGTTTTGAAACTGTTTTAGTCGATCGATTTCACAGTGACATTTGTTTACAGTTTTATTTGTTTTATTTCTGTCTTTTAATGTTGTTTTATGTCTGTATTTGTCTGTGCACACTGGTGACTTTTGCTAATGTATTCCAATGTGTTTTTTTTTACTGCAAATGGCAAATAAACTGAATCTGAATCTGAATAATTTGACCTTATAAAACAGTTGTCAATGGAAAGAGCTTAAACATCATGTTTAGTAGGAATTTCTTACTTGAAATGTAAAAAGCGCAGCGCCCCACCTGAATAACATGCTGTTTCTGTGTTTGACCAAAAAGAAATCATCTAAACTTACCAATCACCCTTTGCACAATTTGCAGTTACAGGTTTGTAATGTTACGGCCGCTGACAGGACGTCTTCAACCTTTTTCACCCAGAGAGCTACTTTTCCAGGACAATAAAGGCAGAGAGCTACTCCTTTAAGAGGCATTGGATAAAAATAAATAAAATGGTGATGAATTGGTGAGAATAAGCCTGGTATTGGGAACAGTCCTTATTTATCAGTGCATATTTGTTACTAGTAACAAAGTGAGTGCATTTCCAATAATAAATAATGATAATACAATCTGGAATATTGAGTATTTTATTTGATGTGTTCATTTCTAAATCTTTTGGCTAGCTACCTGGAAGGGGTTGGCGAGCTACTGGTTGTTCCTGAGCTACAGGTTGGAGACCCCTGACGTATAGCCTCTCCTCCCAAAGCCGTGCCTTTAAAGCTCGTGCGTTTTTATTGAGCCGGGTTATGACCGTAATATGAGAGACATGTCGACTAGTTTGGCAGTGCGACCAAACACCAAACAATAAGAGCTTTCCTTTGGTGTTTGGTTGTAATTTAATCATGTCTAAAAACTCGTCCGAGGCTACTATTCCATCCCAGATACCTATGAGCATTGAGCAACAATGATACAATGATAATAACATTCTGAAATCAACCAAGATCCTTTTTAAAACAGTTTAAACAAACTATTTACAGACGAGATATTTTTCTTTATGAATTTTTTTCAAATTCCAATGTTCTAGCCTACATTTATCCCCAAAAATGAGTTGAAATCAAACCAGTCACATACCCACAGATGATTTGTACTTTTTCTTTCCATGCCTGTCTTCTGTGTTGATATGTTAGTCCATTATTGTTGTGAGTGTTTAAGGTTTTGCTTATGCTATAGTACAATGGCACAATATGTTGAAGTTATTTGCTGAAATGTCCTAATTCAAATAAAACAGTGGGTGAGTGAGTGAGTGAGTAAAAAAAAACAATATCTCACCATGACTAAATTACGTTCAACTCAAAAGTGAAAATTGTTAAAAAAGCAGCATCTTTGGCTGTATGGAGGATGTGCTACTGTAACACATGTAATAAAAGAATGTGGTCACTAGATGGCAGTGCAAACTCACACACACACACACACACACACACACACATAAGACAATGCCTGGGCACAAAAGGGGCTATTAGGGAAAGTACTTAAAAGGCACAAAACATTTTAACAAAACTATAATTGTGAGAAATATAAAAGCATTATTATAAAAACAGAGAAGTTTGTCAGTTATTTACTTTAAGCAGGTAAATCTAACAATTGTGAATTAATAGAGCATTAACACTGTGGTGAATAAACAGTTTCTTTTATGAGAGACTTTACAGAGCGACTTGGTTCGTATAAAAGCCATTGGCGTGTATACATGAGTTATATGAGGGAGCTAACTGGCCGTATAAGGCAGCCTTTGTGCTTGCCTTTGGGACTCGCACACCTCACTTAGGGGAGAAGAGTTTGTCTGAGAAGCCACAGCGACTAATGCTGCTCCTAAAAAGGAAGGGAAACATTAGTTTAGCCTCCATGGAGTCCAATAACATTCAAAAGACATGTCCATACTCCCAAGATCGTCATTAATTGTCTATATATATATATATATATATATACACACGATACGAACAAGCTATGACAACAGTCCAACATCACATACTGTACTTACACTCAATCAGGGCTTGCTACTACTACTGCTACTACTACTGCTACTACGGCTACTACTACTGCTACTACAGCTACAACTACTGCTACTACGGCTACAACTACTGCTACTACAGCTACTACTACAGCTACTACGGCTACTACTACTGCTACTACAGCTACTACTACAGCTACTACCGCTACTACTACTGCGACTACTACTACTACTACGGCTACGACTACTGCCACTACAGCTACTACTACTGCTACTACGGCTACAACTACTGCTACTACAACTACTACTGCTACTACGGCTACTACTACCGCTACTACTACTACTACTACGGCTACAACTACTGCTACTACAGCTACTACTGCTACTACGGCTACTTCGGCTACAACTACTGCTACTACAGCTACTACTGCTACTACTGCTACTACTACTGCTACTACTACGGCTACAACTACTGCTACTACAGCTACTACTGCTACTACGGCTACTACTACTACTTCTACATTTTTGTCATTTTTGCAGTGTGCCAACAATGCATGTATTTTTGAGTGTATATGTTTTTGAAAATAGAACACAACAACTATAACAAAAAGAAGGTGTACCATAACCGCATGCTAATTTTGCGTTATGTGGTATTCTTATTCACTTACTATACACAAGTCCATATTGCACACAAGTACAAGTACAAGTAGCATGTAATTAAGGAGCACGGTCACAAGGCAATGTATTACAAAAAATATATCAATACTTGCATGCTTTTTGATAAACAGTAACAAAGTATATACATTTTCACACTATGCCCTATAATGTTAAATTAGAGCAACAGTCAAAGTATCCTGTAACTAAATACATTTTCACTGACTACTAATGCTTCTTCTGCTTCCCCCTTTTAAATAAAGTACTACAATTAGAAGTAAATCTGGTTAAATGACGTCAATCTAAACTACTACACTCTTTAAGAAGTTCGGTTCTCTTAACGTTATATATTCATCAGTGTTTTAAGTTTGAGCGTAGGAAAAAGTGTGGCTGCATAATGCCTTGCTCCTGGCGGTTCCTGCTCCTTACAGCTTAAAGTAATTACGTTTTTTACATTTCACACAAACATCTGCAGCTGTAGCACAGGTAGCACTGGCTTCTTGTATACTGGGGTCTCCGCACACTGTCGGGAATGATAATTTGGACTAATAAGGAGTCTGAATCAAATAGGTCACATACAGAATCAGGGTTAGTGTATGGTTGTGCTGACTTGCATGCAAAACAGAAAATAGTATCCATAATCTTTATGGTCGCCGCGTCTATGGTAAAAGCCCAAAGCAAATATTTGACTAAAAATTGTCCATATTCTTCCTGGACAGTGCATGATCCACAGCAGACATTATAGTAAGAGAGACTTGTTCAAGGGCAGATGAGTCATATTATAAAACTGTTTTGATTTAATGACTGTTTATTTAATTAAGTCTGACAAGTCTGACATAGTGATTCAGAATTGACAGAGCTGAAGTTGGCTGAATGTAAACAATTAAAACTGGTTTTATGAGAGTAATAAATGCATTTTTGAGTCATGATCACAAAGAAAGGTTTTAGGTTTTACAATGAGGTATAGCATGTATGTACTGGTGGAGAGGAAGTTGGCTGGAGGACATTGTATGCTTATGATTGCGATGGCGAGGGCCACAGAAAATGACAAAGCGGACCACAATTGGTCCCTGGGCCTTAGTTAGGACACCCCAGATCTGCAGTATACTGGCTTGGGAGTGAAGAGTAGCATTGTACTAAAAATATAGATTGGATTGTCATGGAAATAAAAATACCTTTAAGCGCAACATTCTCCATGACTCCATTGAGATAAAATGTTAAAACTATGGATCATTCTGTTAGAATACATACATTTTATGACATTGTAAATGATTACAGCCAAAACCGAAGCATTTATATGAAATCATGTCATATCGCTTATGTTAGTCTGATATGTTTTTATGTTTTTATTCCCTGTGCTGCTCAGACGAATTTACCCTGGTGGGATAAATCATGTAGTCTGAATCTGAATCAGGTGTGAGCCCAAAAACGTGAAATATTTTTGGCAGTGAAGTCATGTACTGTTTCAACTTTAAATAATCTGAGCATCTGCAGTTACTCCAATTCTGAATGTTTGCATTTAAAAATAACTCTTAATTAATTCACCATTTATTTATATCCAATCATAGGCCTGTGCATGGCTTGTCTCTGCCTGGTATCACGTTACAT